AGGAATTTTATCGGTTAAAACATTGATCGACAAGTCAAGTTCACCGAGGTACTCGTAATGACCCAATTTCTTGAGGAATGAAACCGAGAGAGTTTGTTATCTCAAAGATAGAGAAAGGATAGGTTTCTCAAATTTCCAATACAAGGAGGGATCAAACCGTTGAGATTATTTGCACACAGGGATAAAAAGTTGAGATTGGTCAACAAACCTATTTCAAATGGAATATTTCCCGTGAGATCATTCATACAGAAGTTCAACTCTCTAATTTGGGATAGGTTACTAATATGGGGCGGAATGGTTCCATAAAGGGAATTGTTCCAAAGACTAAGAGTGAAAAGATTGGAGAATGATGAGAAGTTGAAACCATGAAGCGTACCTCTCAAACCAAAATATGGAAGGCTCAAATTGGTGACAGTTCTAGAATTCTCACAAGTGATCCCAATCCAATCGATGCAAGGACTGCTGCCGACCCAAGAAGACAAGAGAGATTGGCTTTGGTTGTCAAGACTTGCTTTCCACTTGAGAAGAGCCTCAGCTTCTTGATTATTGCTAGCTTGAGCAACTTTGTATTTGGCAGCAGTAGTACCAAATACCGAAGTTGCCGAGGAAGTATAAGCAAAAGCAAAGAAAGAAGAAAAGGAGAAAAGGAGAAGGAGAAACATTGAGAATGGTTTGTGTGGTAAGGACGTGATATCCATTTGAAAGGGATGTGTATGGTTTGGTAAATGTGGAGGATGAAGATCCTAGCTAGGCAATAAGTAGAGGTATTTATAGGATAGCATGGAATACATTATAATTAAAAATTAAAAAAAATGAATTGCGAGAATAAATGCATGAAGACGTTGATTGCCCGCATGATTGTCTCTCCTCAATCTATGTTCACAATGCCTCCTCCATCCAAATACAGGAAAAGGGGCCTGTGTTTTGTCCGGGTACACTTGTCATTTTACTAAAAAATTGAACTGTTATCACACAAATGAAAGGTAGGTGCCTAGGCTATTTCATGGCATAAGCAATTATATATAATTGGAGAGTCTATGTATCTAATTATATATTTTAATCGAAGTTTAGAATATTTTTTTTAGAAAGCATCATATAATATAGAATTACTGTTAATCAAAGGAAAAAAAAAGAAAAGAAAAGAAAGAAAAAAAGAGAGGCAATATTCAAGTTGAAGGGCTTTTAAAGAATTTTCTTTGGACCTTAATTATTCAATAAAGAGCCTGTAATTCACGTTGCTTGTGGGGGTAATTCATGACTTTTTGACCAATGTATTTTTACAAACTCATTGAAAGAATTGATAATCCCTTTTTTATTTTTCTTTAACCTATCTAATATCAATGCTGAGTCAATTGATCATTGCAAATTACTTATTCTATTAAAATCATTTCTAGTTAATTCTTCATTTTGCTTCATTTCTATTAAAAACACTATATTATATGCAAAAAGAATTAATATTGTTTTAAAATTTTAGATCTTGTTAATAACGAAACTAAAAGAATTACATACCTAATTATTGTAAGCCATAATATTTAATTGTTACATTGAAAATTCTGATATATTATAATATATCCTGCTCAAAATTATCATTTAATGTTGTGAAAGAAAAACTAAATCGGAAAATATAAGAAATTAAACCATCATGAAAAAAAAAAAAAAAAAAAAAAAAAAATATATATATATATATATATATATATATATATATATATATATATATATATATATATATATATAAAATAATCTTATCTATAAAAGTCTTCATTTTCAGGTTATAGCAAATCTTTCATATTTAATTTGTTTTAAAAAAATTTAATACCAAAAAAAACAACAACAACAACAACAGCAACAACAACAAAGAGACCATGCTAAAGATTGTTATGAATATTCATATCTAATTAAGCATCATACATTGAATTTCAAAATATCACAAATTAGCTCCTTCTCCTTTTTCTCCATTTTCCACAGGCTTGCAAGTTTGTCATTTTTCTCCATTTTCCATGGGCTCGTAAGTTTGCCAAAGTCTGGTTGTCCTCCATTTGCAACTTATTATCGTGCTTGTTACGATTGAATTAAAGAGAACCGAGAGAGACAAAAGATTCTCCTAAATCAATTTTAAGTCAATTTTATTGTACTTTTATTTTATTTTTCAAGTGAATTTTATTTATTTATTTCAAAAATTTATTATAAAAGTTTATTTCAAATCCAAATAAAAAAAATTATGAAATTTTTTTATAACATAAGAATAAAAGCAAAATGCAGATAAAAAGAAGGGCATTTTAGGATTTTGTAATTGTTTTTATGTATAGAAAAGAGAAGAAGCAATTTTTTTATATTTCAAATACAAACAAAAAAAAAATTATCAATTTTTTTTCGTAACATAAGAATAAAAGCAAAACACATATAAAAAAGACATTTTAGGATTTTTTTTTATTTTTTAAAATAATTTGAGAGAAAGCCAAAAAAAAAGATGATAGATGAAATTAATTATTTATTTCCATACCTAAATAATTTCTAATCAATTCGTCATTTTGCTTCTAAAATTGAATCAGAAGATGAGAATACATCTATTTAACAATTAGACATTTACAAAAATAACATCTTTCTATTATGTAGTTTTTTAAATTAAGAGACACATTTGTTGAGAGCAACATTCTGTTCGCATGCGAAAGTAAAGCCTTTAGACTCCAAATCCTCCATCGGAGCCAGCCCACCCATAAAAAGGCAAACATAACCTCACTTAAAGCATTAAAAATATTGTTGGGACAAATACCTATTAATCTCTGTTAAAGAATAATATAAATTATATCAAGTTTAAAAAACTTTTACTTAAAAGAATATGTTATACAATAAAATAAATTATATTTTGAAGTCTCACTTAACCGTTTAAATTTTTGAGTTGAGTTAGTTTTTAACAATCTTCTGACATATTTATTTTTGTTGTTTATTTATTTATGAAAACAATTTTTCCTCTCTTTTAAGTGAGAATTTCCATTTTGTTTGGCCTGATATTTTTTGAACGTCCGAAGCTAGTGTCGAACAACTTGAATGCATCAATAAAAAAGAGTAAGCTGGATCGTAAAGAAGGGTTGGACAGACACAGAATGAGCAAAAGGCTGTATCATCTGTAAATTAAAGAAGAAGGGCAACAAGTTGTACACAAGGCCCCATCTCAGTTGATAACAGGCTATTGGTTGCTGAAGCTTTCAAAGCATTTACTGTGTCTGAAGCAAAGAAAGCAGCGTACAGCTAGATGGAGAACAAGAAATTAATCAACTATAGAGTTGTTTCTGACCATTCAAAGGAAAATTAGAAATGCCCACAGTATAATTCAACCACATTTCAGGTGTCACGATCTGTAGGCATCAATCAGCCCATTAGAAAATTCAACCCCAACGAGCACGATAACATAGCCTATTAGAAAATTCAACCCCAACAAGCAAGATGACAAGTTATTGGTTGGTGAAGCTTTTAATGCATTAAAAGCTTCACCAACCAATAACTTGTCATCGTGCTTGTTGGGGTTGAATTTTTTAATTATGAGAGGCAGGTTGAATGGTTTGGTAGGGCATAAGCTTCCTATTTGAAAAACTATTGTGTAATGGAAAGTTATAAAATTTAAATATAAATAAATTAAAAATCCAATGTCTAAAATAAATATGGAATATCTTAAGTAAATTACAATTGTGACATTGCATAACCAATAAAAAATATATGGTCCAGATTAACAAAAACATTAGTTTAAGCTTCTGGACCTCTATGGCAATCTTAAAAGGCAAAAAATTACTTCCTAATATTCCTATATATTTTAAACTTTTAGTTATATCAAACCCTCTACTCTATTTGGATCATATTTTTAATTACATTAACGGAAAATATTTTCCATTCGTGATATTTTAGATGAATTTTGAATTTAATTAATACAAATTTGTCTAAATCTTAGTCAAATTAATGTTTGGGAAAAAAATTAAAAATTTATTAAGTTAAGGCATAGGCTATTGGATATTAAAAAAAAAATTAATCTTGATCTTAAATTTATGAATAATATGTTGAGAAATTTAAATTTTGATTGATAAAATTAGACATATGCATTATAATTTTAATACGCTTGCTAAAAATATAAAAAATGGTTGAGTTGAGTGGAGCTGTGATTTGATTTTTGGTAGAGGAAATGGTCTACTAAGGTAAGGGAAGCATGAAAGCCCAATAGACAAAACCCTCAACAAACCATTGACGCTCAAAACCAATTCTATTAACTTAGAGCCCACTGCAAATAAATCCGTAAACTTGAACCATCAGGCAGTCCTGATTAACTGGTGAATTATTATCGTTACTATTATTATTTTATAGTACTGGATGAGTTTGAAGTTATGGGAGCATATCATCAATGGAAGGTAGCTAGGGTGAAGAAAATGGAAAGAATGTTTAAATCTGAAGAGCTTGATTGAGACAAATTAAACATATTAGGTTTTGGGGCTACATAAGAATATACTAGATAAATTTCTCAAAATTGTTCAAAATATTTTAAGAAATAAAAAGTTTTAAGATTACTCAACCATTAATTTTTTTCTTTAAATAAAGATTTAAAATTTTTAGAAAATAAAAAATTATATTAATTGTTGTATAGCTAATGCTTGTTGTAGAATGAAAAATATAATTATGTCAATTTAGAAAATTAAATAATTTTTTTTGATAAAAAGACATATTGAAGAATTAGATATTGTACAAAAATATAACTGACGTAGTTAGCAACATAAGATGAATTAGAAATTTACCCAATTATATAAAGATACATTGAGCCATTTACAATTTTTTTTCCCTCCATTTATGCCTCTAGATGAATTTGTGGTTGTGGGCACCAGCATTAGTTTAGGTTGTATGTAACAACAATAAACACTTAGTTATAAAGCCATGTCGGCCAAAAAAAAGAAATATATATTAATTAGCATTTGATTGATGAAAAACTCAGGGCCCAAATATTAGCATTTAGAATCTAATCTAATATGGTAAAAATCCTCTATTAAAATAGGCGTTACCTAGGGTTTGTACTTCAATTATATTTATAAAAGACTTGCATAGATCTTGTTTTAGAAATGTGACAAACTGTCACATTGTGGGATGTGGGCTTTCTACAAGAACATCCAATGAAGTTTTCACGAACCACTACATGTTATCGTGTAGATTGGGGTTGAATTTTCTAATGTGCTTATTGATGATCTTCACAAGTCAAAATAAATTGATAGTTGGATGAGTTTTCAACCAAGTATGCTGACAAGTGTTTTCATGTTTTATTCCTGGACCTTCAGGTTCATGTTGATAGTGAAATGCCATGTTTCTTTTTGACATTATGACAGCGTTTCACTGTTGCTTTGTAGTGTTTATCTTGTTCAGTTTGTTTTGCTTTACATTTGTACTTTTTCATAGTTTGCAAGCTTGTTGTATCTCACCAAATAATTTTATTGTAGTGGGACGATTCAATAGATGACTCACCTGAAGGAACTAGAGGTCTGATGAAAAGATTTCATTTGGATAGCCCTAAGAGAAAGGCCGTCTCTCCATTGAAGAAACATGAACTGGCAAGGTTTGTTAAGAGGAGAAAACCTAAGAAGTGGAGTCTGGAGGAGGAAGATGCCTTGAGGGAGGCTGTAAAGAAGTATGTAGTTTTGTTAGACAAAGTGGCCAGTAATTTTTTGCTTTGTATAGTTTGATGGATCCTTATTCTTGCTCTTTTCCTTTTTTAAAGGTATGGTAAAGGAAACTGGAAGCTGATCTGGAACTCTAGACGTGATGTGTTTCAAGAGAGAACCGAGGTAAACAAGATCTATCATCGCGTAGTGTTTATGTTTAGCTGGCAATGTTTCTTTGTTTTAACATTGAGCATTATTCGTTTATTTTTCCCTTAATGATTTGTCCAGGTTGATTTGAAGGATAAGTGGAGGAACATGACAAGATACGGTTGATACTGCCAGCAAGTTTTAGGGTCTGGTTTCCTTTTTTTTTTGGCTGCTGTAAGATATAGATGTAGCACTCCAGCCCCCTTGATAATCTTTTCAGGTTTCCTACTCTCACCATGTGCACTTGTTATAACAACGCTAAGGGCTTGTATTTTGTAGGTTGGAAAGGAAGTGTAATCATGCTAAGCATCTTTTGGTTTTCTTATGCCACTGGTTTTTGTAAGTATTTCCTCATGAAGGAAAACTGTGCAGTGTAGAGTTGCTTTTGACTTATGAACCAACTTGGAAATGAAATGTATATATAGTTTCTGTAGAAAATCTGAGACCTGCAAGTTAAAAGGTCTTTTGATGATTATATATTAGTAGCTTCTTCCGTCTGTTTGCCCCCTTTTTTCTTAGTTAAATATATCCAAATTCCAATGCATATATTTGCTGTATGTAATAGTATACCTAGCAAATCGAAAGAATTTCCAGGAAATCTGGAGCAAATTCTAGATCTAGACGAGCATGTGTCCAATTTTGTAGGTAAAAGTACCAATAAGTAATTATTTAGTCCTTTTGGTTTCAAAGATCATAATTTAGTCATCCAACTAAAATGGTGACAGTTTAGTAATACTCATTAATGAAAATTTAACATAAGGACTAATAAGTTATAAATGGATTTTTAAAATAGAGGGACCCAATTATTTGGCTAAAAACAGTAGAACTATAATATAATTTACTTAGAAATCAATTTGAAATTTCATTATTACATCAAAATTTAAAAATGTGAAAAGTTTGTTTTCTATGCTACGTTGCATGTTTTTACCTGTATTTACCCAAAAATTTTCTCCTAAAAAAAATATATATATATATAGATGTCTAATTAATTAATTCTAAATCTATCTAGGATAATTAATAGAAAAATTTTCTAAAAAGATTTATTTAAAAAAGCTACCAATTTATTTTAAATCTCTCAAATTCGTAACAATATTTTTCTATTTCATACACTCAATAGTTAACCCTGACTTAACATAATTATATTATTTTGGATTTAAGAGATTTAAGAACATTTAACTTAACATCGGTTAACTATTGAGTGTTTTATTAAAAAAATATTATTTTGAATGGAAGATTTAGAAATAAATTAGTTGAAGATTTAAAAATAAATGGGTGAATATTTTAGAGGATTTTCCAATAACTATACCAAATGGACAACTACTAGAAAAATCCTATAAAAAAATCTTCTATCTAAAAAATGCATTAATAACAATATTTTTCTTAACACCATTTAACTATTGAATTTTTTTATAAAAAATATATATATATATATATTTTTTTTAAATTTGAGATATTTAAAAATTAATTGATGCGGATTTTAGAGTTTATAGTTTTTGACGAGAGTTATATATATATATATATTTAAATTTGAGATATTTAAAAATTAATTGATGCGGTTTTTAGATAAAATATTTTTTGTAGAAAGTTTTTTGGTAATTATTTAATAATAATCACGAGTTTATAGTTTTTGACGGTTATATATGATATATATATATATATATATATATATATATATATATATATATATGATGCGGTTTTTAGATAAAATATTTTTTGTAGAAAGGTTTTTTTGGTAATTATTTAATAATAATCATAGTTTATAGTTATTGGGTTCTATTTTCAAGGAAGGGGAATGAAAATAATGGGGATGATTCCATCTCCAACAACTTCATAGAAGTTATTATTAATCTTGTCAAAGTGAGGACTAAGGCCCCAATCACTCTCTTTTCATTTCTGTCATTATGTGGTTGTTATTTACTTGTTTGGGACTAGCATTTGGTTCTTATAGGCTATACCTTGGTCCATTCAGATTTATGTATGTCAATATATGGTTTAGTAGATTCAATTAATGAAAGCTATTTAAGTTTTCTTACAATTTATCGGAGAACTTATTTAAAGCTTCTTCTTTCTAATTGAACTTTGCTTCAACCAAAGAAGAAATTTTGGTAGATTATTATTGAATCACTTCTTCATTTCAAGGTAAAAGTTATGATCATCTATTAGGAAAGTAAAAGTTAGGGCATAGAATTAGACAACATGTTTACAATAAAAACACTTAAAATCCTCAAAACCCGAGGCCTAATTTACGATTCCAAAAGTAAAAAACCGAAGGGTCTCCCTTTGCTATCTCACATTTTAAAAAATCTGCCCTAAGAAGAAACTTGAGGTTTTATATGTCTTTGTTAGATAACATATCTATATATAATTTATTTTATATTTTAATCTTAATATAAATATAATACGAGTCTATTTAGATATGTAATTAAGGGTAAAATCCATAATTCTTTATGATAAACCTATTTATATGCCTTTTGAGTAAAAAGACAAAAAAAACAAGTAAAAAACTTCACATTTTTCCCCTTTCCCCCATTTTGTTTCAAGGTTGATTATAATTCACAGACCTACTTTCAAAAAATGATATTAAACTCGTTGGGCAATAATTGATCATTCTAGTCCAATTAAATTGAAATTATAGAAATAAGCAACTTAGTTCTCTATAATATCGAATAACTTGTTACCTTTATTTTGAAAAAAAAGAAAAAAAAAACCTTTATAACAAGCAATAAAAAACTCGACCTATAGAATAGTTATTCCACAGAAATTCTAAATTAGGAACCAAATGCCTATTATAATCTCTAAGCACAAAAAGCATCGTTTATTCAAAGCAAGTCGTTGGCTTATATAAGCCTTACAAAGAAATAAAATATAAACAAACAACCCAAGTTTTACGTGATAAATGGCTAAGGAAATAGATAAATTCTACCTAAATGTCCTAAATAATAGGAATTATTAACCGAATGAAGTTTGACAACTTCAACTATAACTCTAACGACCATAACAATACCTATGTCAAAAATTTAAATAAAATCATAACAAAGTAACCACATGCTCGCTTTTTAGAGGATCATGACATAGCTCCTTCACTAAGTAGAAACACATACCCAAAAGTACTTTTCCTATCATCTACATCTCCCGCATAATCACTATCCGTATATGCCATCAACTCTTCATTACCCCCTTTCGATAAAAGACTCATAAATCCACAGTACCTTTCAAGTATCTTAACACCCTTTTCATAGCTTGCAAATGCAACTCAATTGGACTTGCCATGAATCCGCTAATAAGACACACCATATACATCAAGTCCAACCTTGTTGTAGTTAGATACATAAGGCTCCTCACCAATTATTCGTACATGGTAACATTCACCTTGGCTCCTTCTTCATCCTTCATTAGTCTAATGCTAGGAACAATGGGATTCTTCATACTATTACTCTTTTCCACCCTAAACCTCTCCAAAACTTCCTTTATATACTTTCTTTGACTAATATAAATGCCTTTAGAATTTTGTAAAACCTCCACACCGAGAAAATATTTCATCTTTCCCAAATCGCTTATATCAAATTCAAGTTTCATAGAATTCTTGAACTTAACAAACATACTCTCATGATTACCAAGTAAAAATTAGATCATCAACATATAACCTAAAAATCAAAATTTTACCTTTATCTTCTTTTTTATGAATAAAGTGTGTTCACAGTTGCACCTCTCAAATCCTTCTTTGACAAAGTATGCTTCAATTCGACCGTACCATGCACGAGGAGCTTGTTTGAGGCCATACAATGCCTTCTTCAATTTATACACCTTATGCTCTTCACCTTTCTTCTCATAACCTTGTGGTTGCTTGACAAACACTCGCTTCATTTAACTCTCCATGTAAGAAAACACTTTTGACATCAAGTTGATACACACTCCAACCATTTTGAACTCGCTAAAGCAATTACCATTTGAATCGTATCCCACCTAGCCGCGAGCGCAAACACCTCGGCATAATATATACCATGTTCGCCGTGTGTACCCTTTCGCCACCAGCCGAGCCTTACACTTGTCAACCTCACCATTTTCATTGAGTTTAGTTTTGAAAACTCATTTTACTCCAATCTTCTTCATTTTTTTAGGCAAATCTATCAACTCCCAAGTCTCATTCCTTTCGATCACTTCTATCTCCATGTCCATTACAACTCTCTATTTGGAACTCGAATAACTTCTTCAAAGGTAGTCTGATCCGAAGAGGGAAGTAAACGAACTAAATTATGCTCAACTTCTTCTTCTTAAAATTCTCCCCCACTCACATAATCTTCCATCCGGGATGGTACTTTTCTCGTTCCTCCCTTTTGATGAGCTTTCTTCGGATGTTTGAGAATTCTCTCTAGGTGCCTCATTTGAAGGTAAGCTAACCTCTCCTCCTCCTCCTTCTACTCGCCACCTCCTCTTTAGATTCTTCTTCACTTTGATCATGTTCACTTCCCTCTTCATTACTATCTCCCTAATTGAGGACATCAAGTCTTGCTTCTTCATTACTCCTCCCCTAATTCCAAGCACTCATTTTCTTCAAAAACCACATCTCTGTTTACTACTATTTTCTCGGATGTTGGATCATAAAGTCTATATGCTTTAGACTCGTTCACTCATCCCTAGTAGCACACACTCGAAAACTCTTATCATCTAGCTTCTTTCTCTTACTCGTCCGACACATAAACATGACCAATGCATCCAAAAACTTGAAAATAAGCAACATTGGGTTTAACACCACTCCAAGCCTCTTCATGAGTCATATCTTTCACTCGCAAATGTGGGACTTCTATTAAGCACATGCGCTGTCCGAGTTTATTGCTTCCGCCTAGAAATTCTTTGGAACTTGCTTCTCCGATAGCATGCTTCTAACCATGTTCATGATTGTCCTGTTCTTGCATTCAGCTACTCCATTTTGTTGGGGAGTGTAGGCTGTTGTGAGTCGCTCGCTAATACCATTAGCTTTGCAAAAGGCATTGAACTCAAGAGATGTGAACTTTCCACGCCTATTTGTGCGCGTACAACGAATAAAAGCTCCCGCCTCTTTTTTAATAATTTTTTTTTATAATTCTTGAAGATTCGGATTTCTCGACAAGAAAATATATCCACTCCTTACTACTGTAGTCATCAATAAAACTTATGAAATACCTCTTCTTATCGTTGGAAACGGGTTTGATGGGTCCGCAGATGTCAACATGTACCAACTCGTAGTCTTTGTGATGCTCTCCATAAACTCCTTTTTGGAATTGCATCCCCGTGTTGCTTTCCCACCATGCAATTAGTGCATACTCTAGATGATGCCTTCAAATGTGGTAATCCTCTCACCATTTTCTTATACCGCAATGTTCTCAAACCCTTGAAACTTAGGTGTCCATATCTACAAGTGCCAAATGTGAGTGTTGTCTTCAAGAGTTGTTTGGAAACAAGTGGGAGCTTTTGGCGGAACTCTTGCAAGCAAGTATGAACATCATGTTTACGGACATTGCTATTTACATAATAAGTCTTTTCTTAGGAGTTGGGATGATAGATTATACATACCCATGTTGTATCAAAATAGCTACACCTCTTTCTTGCTACTATCCAATACTTAATAAATTATTTTTCAACTCGGGTATATAGAAAACATCGGTGATTACTTGAGTAACTCCAGCAATTTACAACCTAATGTTACCCTTTTCCCAACACAATCATCTTGGAATTATTCTCGAGCTTTACGGATTGTCGGAATTCCTCATCAAGATCCGAGAACCACTACTTATTTGCACATATATGATTGCTACACCCTAAGTCAAGAAACCGGACATCTTCTCTCCTTGATTGATTTAACTCCACATATGACATCAACAACATCTCTTCTTTCTCCTCAAGCTCGGCATAATTTGCTTCTTTCTCCCATTTAGGACACTCATATTGAAAGTGCCCTAATTGATGACACTTATAACACTCAACTATAGCTTTGTTGAATGCTTGTTTGCCTCGTACTCTACCTCTCTCTTGAAAAACTCCACGACCTCGATCGCCACCTCTTCCACCAAATCTATCATCGTAAGTCACCTTTAATGCCTAGTCATCTCTTCAATTCCCGTTCATCCTCTCGTTCATGTACTAACAAGCTACTCTGCAACTCATCAATGGTTAAAGTGTCTAAGTTATTAGACTCTTCAATCGAACACACAACATAGTCGAACCTTGAGGTCATTGATCTCAAGATCTTTTCAATGATCACCACTTGCTGTATTTTTTCACCATGAGTCTTCATCTTGTTTGCTATGGTGAGTGTCCGAGTGAAGTACTCATCAACACTCTCTCCCTCTTTCGTATGTAGAATCTCAAACTCCTTCGAAGACCTTGCAGTTGTGCTCTTTTGACGCTTGTGGAACCCCGGTACTTCGCTTCATAGAGTCCCAAATGTACTTGGCGGTGTCTTTATTGAGGATGGTCTCTATAATGGTTCGATCAATGGCTTGGAATAGATAATTCTTAACCATCAAGTCTTTTAGCTTTTGTTCCGCAATTGATTTTTTTGTGCTTCGATAAGCTCTATTCCTTTGCCGCAGCAGGGGTTCCATTCTCCACCAAACTCCAATACTCCTTTGAACGAAGAAAATTTTCCATAAGCATGGACTAATGATCGTAATGGCCATCAAACTTAGGAATTGTAGGTCGAACGAAATTATTTTCAGCCGCCATACTTCGATTCTCTCTCTTCTTAAGAAACTCGTGGTTTTCTTTCTCTCACAATCAAGCCCCTTGATGAAGCTCGATACTAGATTGTTATAATCTCTAAGCACACAAAGCGTCATTTATTCAAAGCAAGTCGTT